GGTAGCATTAAAAAGGGGACTGAAAATAAAACAGCCAACATGATAATGCCATTGTACAAAATGCTGGTAAGGCTGCACCTGGAGTATTGCATACAGTTCTGGTTGCTGAACCTCAAAAAAGACACCGTGGCACTGGAAAAGGTGCAGAAGAGAGCAACTCAAATGATGACTGGGCTGGAGCACCTCCTTATGAGGAAAGGCTACAGCGTTTAGGGCTCTTTAATCAAGAGAAAAGGCACCTGAGGGGGGACATGATTGAGATATATAAAATGCAGGGGATGGATAAAGTGGATAGAGGGAAGCTCCTTTCCGTCTCATGCAATACCAGAACGAGGGGACATCCACTCCAATGGAGTGTTGGGAGAGTGAGAACAGACCAAATAAAAACTTTCTTTACCCAGCATATTGTTAGTCTGTGGAACTTCTTGCCACAGGATGTAGTGATGGCATCTGGCCTAGATGCCTTTAAAGGGCAATTGGACAGATTTCTGGAGGAAAAGTCAATTGCAGGTATCTGGTGGGAGCTGAATTAGATAGGCCCTTGGCCTGATCCAGTAAGGCTCCTCTTATGTTCTTATGTATGTTCTTATAACTTATTCTTGACATTCTTGTGGTTCCTAGGGCTTGTGACTTGCCCGGCCCATGTTGTGCTGCCTGACCCAGGGATAACTCTAGATCAAAACTTTCATAGTGTGTAACCAGTGAGTACTGCTCTCCATGAGCTCTTTCGGATAGAAGGGGCAGTCCCCATGAATAGTTATAAGCATCTAAATTCTTGAATGAGGACCATATCTGGCACAGTGGGGGTTTATTTATTTATTTATTATATTTATATCCCACCCATCTAGTCATTCAACTACTCTGGGTGGCATACATCAAGCAGAATAAACAGATTAAAATAACATCAATATTCAAAAATAATTAATCATTCAAGATGAAAATAAACAAAGAAAATAGATCAAATAGTGTCCGGAGGGAAGACCTGCCTGAATAGCCAATTTTTTAATTGGCTTTTAAATTGGGTTTGCTGGTTGGTGAACATTGGAAAAATTTGGACGAGCAGTCTGGAAGTTCCAGTTTTGGGTTGTTGTTTTTTTACTCCCACCTCTCAGTTCACACTATTTCCTGCTACTCCCAACCCACATGAACATGAGGATGAATCAACTTCAAATAAAGAAGTGCAGGACGGAACACCCAAGCTATGGAGCCCCCTCTGACAGTCCAGTGCTTTTTAAAAAATAACGGTTGTCTTTCAATTTATTTTTAATGTATTTTTAGAACTGCTTTGAATGTCATGCACTAGTATTAGTGTGACACTGGTATTATTAAATAATATTTATTTAACTCCTTTTAAATACTGCAATAATTAACTGATTTTAGCTTTTAATCATGTTTCAATACTGTAAGACACTTATTTATTATTATTTATTTATTCATTCGATTTATACCCCACCCCCCCAGACAGCGTCTACTCAGTCTACACTTGGTTCGTTTTAGGAGCAAGGTGAGGAAAAAAATCTCTCATTTCTCCTATACAATAACAAATTATAGTATCAAAAAACCCCAATGAATATATATAAGTGTTTGTGTGTTCATTGTTTTTATTATTCAATTTGTTATTTTTGTTTCGTTCTTTTTAATATTATCTCTTGAATAAAATAAGATGCTTTGGGTCCTTTTGGGGAGTGACAAGAGTGTTTTTAAAAAAATAATAATAGTAAGATGATGGCGGTATTAATGAGAGACCTAAACTGAGGACATTGTGTGGAAAAGATCACCCTCCTGCTCATGTCTTGTAGCAACTGATACTTCAGCCAGGGTATAGAGAAACACCATCGTATCTGGAGATTCCTCCTGCAATCTGAGGAAAAACTAACATGTTAGGCTTTCTTTAAAATACTCCACTCTCTCATGGCAGGTCAGGGGTTTGATACCTCGGACACGGTATAAACTGAGGACATTGTGTGGAAAAGATCACCCTCCTGCTCATGTCTTGTAGCAACTGATACTTCAGCCAGGGTATAGAGAAACACCATCGTATCTGGAGATTCCTCCTGCAATCTGAGGAAAAACTAACATGTTAGGCTTTCTTTAAAATACTCCACTCTCTCATGGCAAGTCAGGGGTTTGATACCTCGTACACGGTGGATCAAAATGGCCCATTGCCCAAAACAAAGGCCAGAACAGCACAAGCGGCAAAAGGAAAACCATTTCCCTGAAAGGAAAGTGCTTCTCCAAATACAAAATAAATACACACACACACACCCCATAAATCCCCCCCCCAAAAAAACACAGGAGCCTCCCCTTTTTCCTCACACAGATGTCATTCTCCTCCATTTTCAAGGAAGGTCCATCCCAAAATGACTGGCTACCCACCCCCACTCTTTGCAGTGTAGCCTGAGTACTCTCTCTCTCACACACACACCCTACCGCATCCTGGTAATCCTGATATTCATCTCAATCCACCCTCTCTCAAACGCACACAGAGCCTTCTATTCGCCTCACAGCCACCATCACCACCCAGCCACCCATCCTTCCCTCGCTTCCCTCCTCCTCTCATGATCTTTGGGCCTTCCGATGACCACCCTTTTCTCATCCCCAGCTCTGCCTGCCTTGCTGTCCGGCGAGGCAGGCCAAAGAGCAACCATCTAAAGAAATCTCTTGGCCACGTCAGCATCAGAGATTGTGTAGGGATCGAGGGGATTTGTGTGAGAGAAAGGGAGGCTTTGAGGGCTTGGCTGCCATCCTATGCCCTACACAGCAACCACCAAGAAAGCTGCAGTGATTATTGATTTATTTACATAATGACTTCCCAAATGAACTCGCTTTTCTTGTTAAGTGCAACACGCAACACAGTTCATAACACGTATTAAAGACCACACAGCAAAAAATATCATAGGCAATTATATTTATATATTCAGACACAATTAAGATACATTCAGCGTAATAAATATGTGGAACTACTGGAGGTAAAACAGGTGTAAGAAAATTACATAAAGACTTTTGGATGGCGTGATAAGAGAAAGAAAGGGTTTCTCCAAACCCAAATCACCATTCTCATGGTTTCAGGAGAGAAACCAGGTCCAGAGGGTGTTCTGGTCTATGAATGGGACCAGACACCATTTGGGAGAAATGTCACAGTTGTCCCGGACAACATTATGTCCTTAGCCATTCCTAGCAAACCAGGATTGGTGTGAAAGTTGAAACCACCACTACCTGGCATCAGAAGCCAAGAGGAGGCTGCTGGCTGTTTATTTGTAGAATTTCTACATCAAGGAGACACAGTGGCTCTGTAGCCAGATTTCTAAACCACTGAATTACCCAGCAAGAAGAGAGTACACAACAAAACATAAAAGCAGCCTTTAGAATGGGCACTGTACCATGCTATGTGCTGTTGATTCTACTGAACGGCACGGGTTTGTGAACTTTGACACAGTCAATTTAAAAGAAAGACACGTAAAATGTGGATTTATTGAAAAATGCCAGGAGATTTTTGTAACTGGGTGGGAGACTAACAAGAATTATTAATGAGAGTGAATATGTTGGACCAAAGAATGATAAAGCACATAATATGCAAAAGACTAGAATACTGTACTTTGGTCATGTAATGAGAAATAAAAATTACAGATTGTTATTACAGCTGATAATTCAAAGTAAAATGAATGGGGTGGTAAGCAGGAAGGAGTAAAATGTGTCATTCAGTAAACCTCAGAAACTGGTTCAGGTGAAAAAACGACACCATGGTTTAGAACTGCCATGTCCAAAGTCAGAAGAGCCTTCCTGGTGTCAAAACCTAAGTGCGGGAAGAACAAAAGGCTACAAATCTACAAGGCAGATTCCTGAGAGCTTTGTTTGGAAATGGAGCAAGATCAGGCCAGGATTCAATATGAAGGAAGCAGGAAATTTCTGATTTTAAAATAGAAATAAAATAAAAATAGAAAAGGGAAAATATTGAAACATGAAGTTTGTATGAATATGGAAACAAGAGGAAAGATAATTTTAAAAAAACTGTGTTGGAGGATTAAACACTACAGATTAGAAGCTGTACTTGTGAAGAACAGGCCCAGAGATATTCATTGGACATCTTGGATCACCTACTAGGAGATGTCCATCCTCTTCATGCAGACGTCCTATGACATGATGTACCTCCCTTTAGTTCCAAGAGGCAGAATTTTTAAGGGGAATTTTTTTAGGACACCTGTTATGCTGTAGAGAACCTACATTGCCAACTAATCACTGGCTATAGAATCCCTGGTCACTGATTTTGCTAGCTAGGGCTTCCCAAATTTGTAATACAAGAACATCTAAAGCAGGGGTTCCCAACCCCCAGTCCGGTACCGGTCTATGGCTTAGCTAGGGCTTCCCAAATTTGTAATACAAAAACATCTAGAGCAGGGGTTCCCAACCCCCAGTCCACAGTCCGGTACCGGTCTGTGGCCTTGGCAGGACCAGGCCGTGGAGACAGATCTCCTGCCCCAGAAAGCATGCCCCCTGCATGCACACCCCACTCAACAGCACGAGTGCCCTGCGTACCCTCATATGCGTGCCCCACCCATCTGTACGAGGGCCCCACCCCACCCTATGAGCACACCATACCCAACCACGAGAGCAGGGGTGACCCGCCACCCCACACATGGAGCCCGCCTCCCTAACCGGTCAACAGTTTGGAAGAGGTTGAGGACTGATCTAGAGAACCCCAAGTTTGGGGAAACTAGTATTTGTCTGCAAGCGAGACTTGACGGCCACTAGAATTTGCAAGAGGAGTAGGAAAAATCTAAAATATAGCTTCTGTCAGGGTGGAAAACATTGGTTGTTGTGGGTTTTTCGGGCTCTTTGGCCGTGTTCTGAAGGTTGTTCTTCCTAATGTTAAGGTTGTTCTTCCTAATGTTTTGTCAGTCTCTGTGGCCGGCATCTTCAGAGGACAGCACTCTGTGCTCGCTGTCCTCTGGAGATGCCAGCCACAGAGACTGGCGAAACGTTAGGAAGAACAACCTTCAGAACATGGCCAAAGAGCCTGAAAAACCCACAACAACCATTAGATCCCGGTCGTGAAAGCCTTCGTGAATAAAGGGGAAAACATTGATTCATTAGAGACTGAATCTGTTGGTACATGTGAAAAATCTTCCAGTCTCCCTTGATGTGCTCCTTCTGTAGCTTCACTCCTGGTTATTCACTTTTGCTGTGTGACAAATGGGAATATTTCTCGGTTCTTTGCTTATACTGCTATCTCAACTAAAATGTTTGCCAATCAATAAACAATGCATCACAAACAAAACATTTTCCATGTTACATGGTTTTGATGGGTTCCCCTCCTGTATGGATTCTGTAATGGCCCAAAAAGTTTGAATTCCGAGCAAAACATTTCCCACATTCTTGACATTTGTATGGCTTCTCCCCTGTGTGGACTCTTTTATGACGTAAAAGCAGTGAATTCCGAGCAAAACATTTCCCACACTCCTGGCATTTGTAGGGTTTATCTCCTCTGTGAACTCTTTTATGATTCACAAACTGAGAACTGTGGTTTATCTCCTCTGTGAACTCTTTTATGATTAACAAACTGAGAACTGTGAGCAAAACATTTCCCACACTCTTGGCATTTGTACGGTTTCTCTCCAGTATGGACTCTCTTGTGACTCACAAGCTGTGAGCTTTGAGCAAAAGATTTCCCACAATCCTGGCATTTGTAAGGTTTCTCTCCTGTGTGGACCCTCTTATGTTTCACAAGCTGTGAACTTTGAGCAAAAGATTTCCCACAATCCTGGCATTTGTAAGGTTTCTCTCCTGTGTGGACTCTCCTATGACTCACAAGATTTGATCTGTCAGGAAAACATTTCCCACACTCTTGGCATTTGTACGGTTTCTCTCCAGTATGGACTCTCTTGTGACTCACAAGCTTTGAACTTTCAGTAAAACATATCCCGCACTCCTGGCATTTGTATGGTTTTTCTCCTGTGTGCGCTCTCTTATGACTCACAAGTTGTGAACTGTGAGTAAAACATTTCCCACATTCCTGGCATTTGTATGGTTTCTCTCCTGTGTGGACCCTCTTATGTTTCACAAGCTGTGAACTCTGAGCAAAATATTTCCCACATTCCTGGCATTTGTATGGTTTCTCTCCTGTGTGGACCCTCTTATGTTTCACAAGCCATGAGCTGTCAGCAAAAAATTTCCCACACTCTTGGCATTTGTACATTTTCTCTCCAGTGTGGACTTTCTTATGACTCACAAGCTGTGAACTGTGGGCAAAACATCTCCCACACTCTTGGCATTTGTATGGTTTCTCTCCTGTGTGGATTCTCTTGTGACTCAGAAGCTGTGAACTATTAGCAAAGCACTTTCCACAGTCCTGGCAGCTGTATGGTTTCTCTCCTGTGTGGACTCTCTTATGACTTACAAGGTGTGCATTCTGTGCAAAACATTTTCCACACTCTTTACATTTGTATGGTTTCTCTCCTGTGTGGACTCGTTTATGACTCACTAGCTGTGAGCTTTGAGCAAAGCATTTCCCACACTCTTGGCATTTGTATGGTTTCTCTCCTGTGTGCACTCTCTTATGACTCACAAGCAATGAAGTGTGGGCAAAACATCTCCCACACTCTGTACATTTGTAAGGTTTCTCTCCTGTGTGGACTCTCTTATGACTCACAAGGTGGGAATTCCATTCAAAACATTTCCCACATTCTTGGCATTTGTAAGGTTTTTCCCCTGTGTGTACTCTTTTATGACTCACAAGTTGTAAGCTCTGAGCAAAACATTTCCCACACTCTTGGCATTGGTAGGCTTTCTCTTGTCTGTAGATATGCTGATGATTTAGCAACTTTGAAATCTGAGGAAAACATTTCCTCACCGGGCTTTTATATGCTTTCCCTCTTGTGTGGACTCTTTGACGGCTCACAAAGTGTAACTTGCAATCAAAACCTTTACCAGTCTCTTCACTCAGAAAGCTCTTCTTTCCTGCGTGGATCCTTTTGTGAAGTATCAATGATCTCTTCATGGCAAAATGTTTTCCACACACAAGGCATTCATTGGGCTTCCCCCAGGTACAGTTTTCTTTTTCTTTGTCGGTTCTCCTGTGTCTGGTGAGCTCAAATTGGGTTGTAAAATTCTTTTTGAGACATATGTTTTTCTCTTTCCAGTTATCTGTTGGGAACAAAGACAAAATGCAAAAATGACTGAATGAAAAGAATACCAAACATCGAGAAAAAAAGAGAAGGTTTTCCAACGAAGCGGATTCAATGTTCCCTCTTATTTTTCCCAACCACTGAGCAGAACTTTTGATGTCTTGAGCAAAGATATTTTAAATTCAAAGCTACTGTGTGACATTCAAACTTTCATGCAGCTATTCCAGCACACATTTTCAATTAAAAAAAGAATTTGTGTTGAGTGCCTTATTAAGATGTGTAATAAACTAAAAGCATGAAAGCCATTGTTACAGAGCTGTTTACGTGATCAGGGACGTGGAAGATCCAGGTCTGAATTGTGACCAAGCAGAAAACCCTTTTGAGAACCTTGAGCCACTCTATCTACTTCGTAGGGTTGTTGTGAAGAAAAGAAGACAGTCATGTCCTGTACCTACAAGTCACTGAAGAAACAGTGGGATATTTGCAACTAACAAATATGTACATTAAATCAAGTGGTGGACATCAATTGATTGTTGCATTGAGATCTGGACATTAAAGAATTAAGCATGGGTGTTGTTTCTGTTGTTTTTTATTATTACTGGGGAAGGAGCAAAGGAAAAATTACGGCTTTTGGGGGGGAGGATTCTTATGATATTATTTATTAATTGTTTATTTATTTAACCTATTTTTGCCTGACTTTTCTCCTTAAAAGGACCAAAGAATTAAAATATAATATTTTAAAACTAAAAACAGTGAATATATAAATATTAAAAAGAATTTTAAAATATTATATTAAAAACTTGGAAAATGTAACTAAAATAAATAGCCAAAATCCTAAGAGTTATGCCTATGACTGTTCTGACCCACACATCACATGAATCATTTCCTACAAGGTTCATCATCTTTATACATTAAACATTTTCATCACTGGAAAGTCTCTGTAATTCCAAGATGTTTTCCAGATAACTGGAGGTGGGGAAGCAATGCAAGAGTCTCAATTTACCTTGTAATATGTTAACAAAATACTAATATCCATGCTAACATGGGGGGACGGGATATCTCTGTTTAGCTTGTAACTCTCAATTACAATAAAAGGGCAATGAATTATAAATATAAAAATATAATTAATTTGAATCACATATTAAAAATGCAGTGAAAGTTTCTTTGTATAAATTCAGTTAAAACAATGACAAACAAGCAAATGGAAATGTACAGCACAACACTAAAAGCCCCTCTCCATGGCACACAGTTTACTAAACCATCAAGGGGCTTATTAACAAGCGCCCCACAATTAACCTCTCAGGATCCAAAGCCCATTACCAATGACGATTCACCTCTCCAAAACATTCCAGTGCAATCTGTGAATCTTTATCTCTTCCGATCTCGATGAATGACTATTCTCACCACAATTCCCACACTGGCAAAGCTGGCTACAGTGAGGGGAGCTGGAATTCAACACAGCTGGAGAGCCACAGATTGCCCAGTCTGGAAATATCAATCCTGCAGTGGCTAGTGTTGAGTTGGGACATCACTTCAAAACAGAAGGATTGTTGTTGCCCTTATTTTTAGGGTTATCAACGCATTGCTAATTAAAGAGATTACCATCAGCTGGGGAAACTTTACCTAGAGAGGAGATAAGGGTCTTACAATGTTTGGAACAGGTATTAAATGCTTGCAATCGTTAGCCCACCTCCTGAACCCTATGCAAACTTAATTTGGTGTTGTTCTGAGTCGTCCTTAATTTTTGGTGATTTTTTGTTTTCCCTATTTAAATGAATTGAACTGTCCATTCAATTGATTTAAATGGGGAAAATAAAAAAATCATCAAAAATTAATGAAGACTCAGAACAAAACCAAATTAAGTTTGCACATGTTTCACAAGGTGCACTATGGAATCCAAGCATTTAAAACAGGTTTCAAACATTTTAAGACACTTTTAAATGAGCAAAAAGGGACATCGTTAAGTGAAATTCCCCCATAGAGAACATCGTTAAATGATGGGGGAAATTCCTCAAAAAAACCCATCGCTGTGTGAAATCATCGTTGTATGAAGCAATCGTTGTGCGAGGCACCACTGTAATTTGAATCACATATTAAAAATGCAGTGAAAGTTTCTTTGTATAAATTCAGTTAAAACAATGACAAACAAGCAAATGGAAATGTACAGCACAACACTAAAAGCCCCTCTCCATGGCACACAGTTTACTAAACCATCAAGGGGCTTATTAACAAGCGCCCCACAATTAACCTCTCAGGCTCCAAAGCCCATTACCAATGACGATTCACCTCTCGAAAACATTCCAGTGCAATCTGTGAATCTTTATCTCTTCCGATCTCGATGAATGACTATTCTCACCACAATTCCCACACTGACAAAGTTGGCTACAGGGAGGGGAGCTGGAATTCAACACAGCTGGAGGGCCACAGGTTGCCCAAGCTGGCAATACTAATCCCACAGTGGCTAGTGTTGAGTTGGGACATCACTTCAAAACAGAAGGATTGTTGTTGCCCTTATTTTTAGGGTTATCAACGCATTGCTAATTAAAGAGATTACCATCAGCTGGGGAAAGAGGGGGCCTTTACCTAGAGAGGAGACAGTCTGCCAGTTCTCCTCCATGACTTCCTGGTGGAGGGCCCTCTGGTCAGGATCCAGCAGCGCCCACTCCTCCTGGGTGAAGAACACAGCCACCTCCTCAAAGGTCACTGGACCCTAAGTGAAAAAAGAAAGCAGGTCTTTCTCGTGGGTTTCATAAAGATATCTTCTTAAACACCAGAAGAATAATTAACAGAAGTGGCTGGATCTTACATTGTGGGCTTTAACTTCCATAGGTGGCCATCACAGCCTTACTACTGGAGGAGACAATTACAAAGGGCTACTATTTTATTTATTTTATTTATTTACAATATTTTTTAGCCGCACCATTGCCAATGGCTTCTGGGCTCACTCTGAGCTCCCTGCAGAAAGAGAGGCTTCTGAATCCCAGTTGCTGAGGAACAACAAGGGGAGGGAAAAAGCTACTGGTGGCTGGTCTGCCTCTGGAGCTTCTTGGAGGAATCCAGGGATCCTGTGTGAGAAACAGGATGCTAGATTAGACTGGCCTTTGGCCTGATGCTGCATGGCTCCTCCTACAGCCTTAGCTCTGCCAGAAGTAAACAGAGGGAGAGAGATCTATTCAGAACACGGGAATGAAAAGAGGAAAATAATGATAAGTACTGCTATTCCACCTAAGGAAAAGGCCATATTATAATAGCTTGCTATATAAGCATTAAAAATGTGGAGCGTTTTGTGAAAATGGAATGCCTGGATTAAAGGGATTTTATATACTGGGAGTCAAATACACAACGTGTCTTTTAATCTTCTCGTCCGTACCTGATCCGATTCTTGTTTACCACAAGGAAAAGATGAAGGAATCCTTATTGCTGGCATCCTTCCGGCCCCTGCCGGAGAGAGAAAAAGGAGGTGGGAAGCCAATCAAATGCACTCGTCTCAGATTCAGATCATAATCCTAGAAGTGCTTGCTAAACCCTTGTTAATCAGGCCTAACTCTTAGGGATAAAGGTACACTGGGAAAAAGTCATGTGGACATGTGGATCAGACTGGCCTACAGATATATGGAAGGGACTATCAGCCTGCTTACAGAACGGCATGGAGGAAATCTTGGGTTTGTTTCCCTAAACAGCACAATTGACAGTTTCCTGCTGGCAAAAAAGTTTTGAGAATTTCTCCCCGCCTGGACTTTTGTCCAGGGTTCGGCAGGAAACAGAAACTTTTAAAGATGCCCCAGACTGCCTTCTGAGAAGGAACTAGCAGCTGTTCCTCACTTCTGATGATGGTCGGATTCCAAAAGATCTCCTGTATGGAGAATTAGTGCAGGGAAACCGCCCCAGAGGGAGACCACAGCTGCGATACAAGGACATCTGCAAGTGGGATCTGAAGGCCTTAGGAATGGACCTCAACAGATGGGAAATCCTGACATCTGAGTGTTCAGCCTGGAGGCAGGCATTGCATCACGGCCTCTCCCAGTTTGAAGAAACCCTTGTCCAGCAGGCTGAGGCAAAGAGGCAGTCCCGAAACAAGCAAAACTAGGGAGTTGGACAGGGGACAGACTGTATTTGTCTTCAGTGTGGAAGGGATTGCCACTCTCGAATTGGCCTCCTCAGCAACACTAGACGCTGTTCCAAGACCTCCATACAGAACATGTTACCATAGTCTCTCAAGACTGAAGGATGCCTACTACAGCTGTTCTACAGGGCCAACTGGAGAGAGGAAAAACCCATCAGAGGGCCAAAGGAACTTCTTCCTGGTCTTTTAAAAATCCCTCCATCCACCTGATGGCCTGAATCCTTTGAAACATCAGCAGTGACATAAAGATAACCCAGACTGTTTTGCTTTCTTAACCCTTTCTAACCTTTCCATGCATATTGGAAAACTATAATATATCTTAGGAGAGGGAAGGCAGCAGATCTATGAAATAAAAAATGGATCCTCATGATTGAGGATTTTTCACATGGAATCCTGAAAGCCTAGGTCCCATTGTGAGCACCGATCCTTTTGTGCATGGTTTTGCAGTTCTTTACAACCATGGAGGAGGACTCCGAATCAGAGGAGCCAGACAGGACCTGCACTGCTTTGGTTTTGAAGCTGTGACTCTTTCGCCCTGAGGAGAAAGCAAATCCTCTGCTCAAACTCAGGGCAGGTCCTCCAAAGAGGCAGAAAGGAAAGGGGAAGCCATTCAAGAGGGGTGGGGTGGTCCAAGATATCCTGCTGCCTGAGGCAAAGGACAAAAACCTTTTCTCCCTTTACATGAACACATGAGATAAACAAAAATATTTAAATAAATCGTCTCCCTCATGTAACGCTCCCCACGTGCTTTGCTCAGCAAATTCATTTGCAAAAGTTCCCAAGCATTTCAAAGGATTCAAAGGGGGGGGAAGGGAAGAGATGGGGAGTCAAAGCTTCCCCCTTCGTCCTTCTCACCAGGAGATCCCTTCTTCTCCTGGCTTTCCTGCCCAAAAAATGGCTCTCCACTTCCCTCCACTTCTTCCTTCCGTTTTTTTCCTTTCCCAGCAAAAATCAGAACAAAAAAATTACTCACAGGCTTCTCTTACTGTCCTCCTCCCTCGAAGGCAACCGGCCGCGGCTGCTGTTTCCAAAGCGTCCCGTTTAAAGTTGCCTCTATGGCTTTTCCATCTGGCTGGGTGTGGGAGGACAAATGCGCACTTTTTTTTGAAAAAAAAGGTTTAAAAGCTTATTTTCCTCTTCCTGTCACGTGACTGAAGCGAAGCCAGACTCCTGGCAGAGCAAACACAGACCTAGCCGATGCGCTCTCTCAGCACATGGATGAGCAAGCCTCTTTCTCTGCCAATGTCTCCATTGTGTGAGTCAGGAAAAGGAACTTATTTAAAGGCACGATGTGCCAGGGAAAGACTTCATCCACAAAGGCTCTACAATTTTATCTTTTTTTGTATCAGCCTTTTCCTAATTCTTCCTCAACTAGGTAAGATGCGACCAATGGCAGTTCAACAGCACCACCTTTGGACTCTCTTTAACATCAGCCACCAGGACTTTTGAAGAAACATCTACTACTCATCAAGCCCTATGAGGAAAGACTAAAAGAACTAGACATATTTAGCCTTCTGTTCTCAACCATCCAAGAGTGCAGGACACATAATTCAAATAAATTTATTGTCATTGTAAGTATATACACAGTACACCTGTACAACAAAATTCACAATGGGCTGAAGTTACAGGAAGCCAGATTACACCTGAATATCAGGAAAAAAAACTCTTAACTTTAGAGCAGTACAACAATGGAACTAATGTGTAGCCATCGTTCAGTCTCAAGAGACTAGGGTAACATGCTCTGTATGGAGATCTTGGAACAGCGTCTAGTGTGGCTGAGAAGGCCAATTTGAGAGGGACAATCCCTTCCACTCTGAAGACAAATACAATCTGCCCCCTGTCCAGCTCCCTGGTTTTGCTTGTTTGGGAACCACAATTCCAGGAGAGACAATATTATTTTTATTTATATGTCACATTTCTCCCAACAAGGGACCCAAAGCGCCTCATAAGGGACCCAAATATACACTTTATTTGCAGCTAGCAGCTAATAGGATTCGTAGTAGGAACTGGTATAGTCATAGATACAATATTATCTGTATGAGTATGAAAATAAGTACAGTGGTGCCTCGCTTAACGAGCGCACCGTATAACGACGAAATCGCATAGCGATCCGTTTTTTCGGATCGCTAATGCGATTGCTCAACGTTTTTCTAATAGGGCAAAATTTGCTTTGCGAAGACCGGTAAGCGTTTCGCTTACCGATCTTCGCAAAACGAAGCCCGACAATCAGCTGTTCGGCGGCCAAAATGGCCGCCG